TAGCTGATTGGCATGTCACCATATTCTAATTTGTTGAGATAGTGAATTGGTGGGTTTTTGTTAAATGTGAGCCAAAATCATCACAATTAAAAGAACCAAAGACTTAAACTACTTCAGTCTGTGTGCATTGAATTTATTTAATACACGAGTTTCACAATTTGAGTTGAATTACTGAAATAAATGAACTTTTCCACGACATTCTTACTTATTGAGATGCACCTGTATATGGCAGCCTGTAGAACCACTTGCTGAAAAGTTATGAAATTTGGCACTCAGATAGAGGAAAGTTTCTATATTAAAGGAATAGTTAACCCAAAAAAGAAAAATAGCTGAAAATTGAATTGATGAATTTGTTAATTAATTGGAACCGATTTGGAGAAATTTAGCAATATATCGCTTGTATCACTCACCAATGGATTGTATCACTCACCGATGGATCCTATGCAGTTAATAGTTGCCGTCAGAATGAGAGTTCAAACTGCTGCTAAAAGCATCACAATAATCTACATGTAATCAACACAACTCCAGGCTATCAATTAACATCTTGTGAAGTGAAATGCTGTATGTTTGTAATAAACAAATTCATAATTAAGTTTGTTTTATCTTTAAATTATTGTATCTGGCCAAAATATTGATAATCCATAATAAATGCATCTTCCTTATTCTGAAGACACCCATTCATTGCAGAAGATCCATTGGTGAGCAAGTAATGTAAATAAGTATTTGGTGTTTTTGTGTTATTTGATAAACACCATAGTGATTAAAAAAATCTAAATGGCTGTTTGAAAATATTGATATTGTTTGAAAAGATATATTTCCTACTGACACGCTACAGCAAAAGATAGAAATAATGGACTTAAAACCATTTTTTAACTGGTCAAAATGATAGTGTTCTAATAATTTTGGCCACCACTGTACAAGTTATCATTAAGTTGATGGCATGATGCCCAAATGGATCTTGTGTCACTCTCACCCAACACTGACCACACCAGATCATTTTGGTGGTAGTGCCACCAATTGGTCAAAAGTGATAAGCAATTGCACATTACACGTGATAGTATTTGTTTTAATTGGTCGGATGCTCCCTGCCTTGCTTGCTTACCTCCTTGTTTTGCCTCTGTTGTGCTTGGCCCCTTAATTGCTACTTGCAGGTATATTTGATTTGATTTTATTCTTGTTATTCATATTTTAGTGCTCAGGAGGAGGATGAGGCCTACGAAGAGAACCATGTCACTCAGGAAGTGGTGGAAGAGCAGCTGTTGCGACTGGTCACACGGGAAGTCATGGACCTTCTAAGTAAGTTACCTTTATGCATGTGAAGCTTTTCAAGTTTGAAAAAAAAATTTATACAAAAGAAAAAAAACTTTGTTAACATGTTTCCAGGTGTGACTTGTATTACAAGAAAATTTCCAGAGCTATCTGCAAACAAAGAGGAAGTAGATGGTGAGTCTCTTCCATGCCTCCTTGTTCTTTTTTGCTGAAGACAGTTATTTGTGACTTGGCATAAAGCATGACAAATATTTCAGCTATGCTCAAAAGCACAGGGACTAAGGTGCAGAACAGTGGTAGCAGTGCTGTGGACTGGTATGTTAATTTGAAATATTTAGCTCTAGAGGTACAATAAAATGGAGTGGGAGAGGTGCAATAAAAATGTCAATATCTTAAACTTCTGTTTATTGAAAATGGGGTCTGGCTAAAATAGGTTTTACAGAGGTCACAGCTAGAGGCATTAAAGGGGTCATATGATGTTGCTAAAAAGAACATTATTTTGTGTATTTGGTGTAATGAAATGTGTTTATGCGGTTTAAAAAACAAAAAAACAATATTTTCCACATACTGTACATTATTGTTTCTCCTCTATGCCCCGCCTTTCTGAAACGCGTAGATTTTTACAAATCTCATCGGTCTGAAAAGCGAGGTGTGCTCTGATTGGCCAGCTATCCAGTGCGTTGAGATTGGCTGAATACCTCAAGCGTGTGACTGAAATGTTACGCCCCTTACCATACTGTGATGCCGTGTCCCGGCCGGACCGACGAGACAAAAACATCAAAACCCATTATAAACGAGGCATTTGTTGCATCCAGTGGGGACATAATTATGGATTATAATGACTTATACTGTCTTTTTACGCATTGCGTTGCATCGTGCCACGTAAACATAAAACCATGTCTGCATTTGTTATCGGAGAAATTTAGTCTTTGCAACTTTACAGATCTTCTTTATGCACATTATGCAGAGCTTGTAACACTCCAAGCATTTTCAAAGGAAAAATTGAAATCGCATCATATGACCCCTTTAAAGTTTTCCGTCGCTGCGATGGATTTCCGTCAATTGGAAAAAATGAGGGGAAAAGAAACATGTAGCGTGTTGTTGTTCTGCCAGCACACCAAAAATCATCCCCGCCACGGCTGCAGCTTCTCACTTTCCGCGCTTATACCGCGATGACACGATGGAACGTATCATTTGCACGTGCTTTCGAGTCTTGAGAACTCACTCGTGCACTCTCATTTTCTGTGCACCCATAAGGAGAGTGACAGCTTTTAATAATTATTAAGGGAGTTTGCAAATGTGTTATTGATTTAATACAACAGTTCAATAAACAAGTACTGCCTGATTTTGCTCTATTTCATCAACGAAAATAGTTCCAAATAAAGTAACAGCTCAGCCTCTGCTCATCCCTAAAAGCAAACACAGCAGTTCCATTCATTTACATTTAGTCATTTAGCAGATGCTTTTATCCAAAGTGAATAAAAAGAAAACGGATAGAATAGAAGAAGAATAGAGCAAGCTAGTGTGAGGCCTTTTTTTCTTTTGTTAATTGTATAATAAATAAAAATAAAAGAAATAGATAGAATACAAAAAGAATAGAGAAGCTAGTGTTTTTATTTATTTTATTTTTTATTTTTTTTTAGAAAACAAGCAGTTATTAAATGAATAGTGTGTCTAAAAGTTTTTTTTTTTTTAAAGAATAGAATTAGAATAGAGAGTGCTAGAGTTAGAGGGTCAAATAAAGATGGAAGAGATGTGTTTTTTGCCGATTCTTGAAGATGGCTATGGATTCAGCTGCTCTGATTGAGTTGGGCAGGTCATTCCACCAGGAGGGAACATTTAATTTAAAAGTCCATGAAAGTGATTTTGTGGCTCTTTGAGACAGCACAATAAAGTGATGTTCACTTGCAGAACGCACGCTTCTAGAGGGCACATAAGTCTAAAGTAATGAATTTAGGTAAAGGGGTGCAGAGCCAGTGGTGGTTTTGTAGGCAAACACCAATGCCTTGAATTTTATGCGAGCAGCTATAGGTAGCCAGTGCAAATTGATAAACAGAGGTGTGACATGCGTTCTTTTCGGCTCATTAAAAATTAATCTTGCTGCCGCGTTCTGGATTAATTGTAAAGGTTTGATAGAACTGGCTGGAGGACCTAACTGAATGAAAGTGTTTTTGAACGAAACTAGTGAGTCAGTGATTCATGATTACACATTCAGAAAAACAGTCACTTGCTTCATTCCTGAATGAATCAGCCATTCGAACGAATCAATTGAATGAATGATTCAGTGATAAAATCAGTGACTTGCCGCCACCTGCTGGCGGATTTAGTTTTATTTTTAGCGCTTTTCATGTAAGAAGATGGCGCCAGATAGTGTGTTGGCTTGCCATCGCTCTGCGTTTAGGATGTCTGTGTTTTGTTTGTTTGTTTTATTTTTGTTTTATAAACTGCTTGAATTGCTCACATTTGCTTTATGACCGTTTTACATTGTTGAGACTTCGATCTGCTGCGTTGGAGATGTGTAGCCGGGATTTGAATATGAAATTATTCGAAGTCAATGAAGCTAAGTGGTTCTTCTTCTAATCGGTCCATTGTATTGACCACTGTGCATATGGCTTTGATAAATGCACGTTCAGTTGTCAACAAAACATTCATCCTGAATGACTTTCATGTAAGACATGGGCTGGACTTTCTCTTTATTACTGAAACTTGGTTAAATGATGCTGAAACGAGCCCTCTTGCTGAGCTTTTACCAAGTGGATGTAACTACTTAAGTACTCTGAGGAGTAATCGTCGGGGTGGAGGCTTGGCTGCTATTTTTAATAACATGATTAAATGCAAGATACAGCCTGTTGAAAGTTTTAAGAGTTTTGAAGCTCAATTAATTTCTTGGTCCGACTTTATTTTCATTATATATGTTACCCTTGGGTTCAATTCTTAAGAAATACAATATTAATTACCACTTGTATGCTAATGATTTACAACTGTATTTTCCTTTGGAGTGTGATGGCTGTACATCTTTTGATAATGTTTATAAGTGTTTGACTGAGGTAAAGTGAACTGATTCTGAAATCCGCTTTGATCGGCAAGTTAACAGCGTTGTGAAAACATCTTTATTTCAGTTAAGAAAATTGTCTAAACTGAAATCTATCCTTTCAAATAAGGACTTGGAGACTGTTTTGCATGCCTTTATTTCCACACGGCTGGATTATTGTAATGCTCTTTATTTAGGCATAAGTGAATCCCTGGTTTCTCGTCTTCAGTATGTCCAAAATGCTGCTGCAAGAATCTTAACAAACACCAGAAAACGGGATCATATAACGCCTGTATTCTGTCTTCACTGGTTACCTGTAAAATACAGAATACAATACAAGGTGTTAATGTTTGTCTATAAAGCATTACACGATCAGACTCCTGAGTATATAAAGGACATGTTCATTTCTTACCAGTCTCAACGCCATCTGCGCTCCTCTCAGAATATGCTCCTAACCGTCCCACGGTCTCGGTTGAGGCGTAGTGGAGACCGCGCTTTTTCTGTTGCGGCTCCTACTCTCTGGAATGTGTTACCATTTTCTATAAAATCCTCGGCTAGCTTATCTACTTATTTTATCAAGCTTTCGGCGTTTGATTAGGTCGGAGAATTGTGAGGGATTGGCTGCTTGTTTTTCTTGATGTTATGTTTTGTTGTTATTTTATGTTTGCATGTATTTTAGTATTATTTTTACTCATGGACAGCACTTTCGTCCATTTTAATGATTTTGAAAGTGCTTTATAAATAAAAATTTAGTTGAGTTGAGTATAATTTCAGTTATTTAAATCATTTAATATTTCTGTATTCAAAATGTTATATTTAAAACATTAATCTCCACATGAATTTATGAATTTAATTG